GGATTATGAGCTATATTAATAGCAGCCTGATTATCACAATACAACATTAATGGCTTCTCATAAACAATACCCAACTCCTCAAATAATGACTTCAGCCATAGGATTTCAGCCACACCATTAGCCATAGATCTATATTCAGCTTCAGCACTAGAACGAGAAACAACACTTTGTTTCTTACTCCTCCAGGAGACAATGTTACTTCCTACAAATGCACAATATCCAGAGGTAGACCTTCTGTCATCAACACTCCCAGCCCAATCAGCATCTTTATGTGATCATTATTCTTGAATAATATACCTCTACCTAAACATCTCTTCAAGTATGCTAATATTCTCTCAACTGCAAAGAGGTGAGTAGTTCTAGGAGAGTGCATATATTGACTGACAACGCTGACTGCATAACTGATGTCCGGTCGTGTGAGACAAAGATAGAGGAGTTTTCCAACCAACCGTTGGAACATAGCTTTGTCTTCAAGAGGCTCTCCACCCTCTGCACTGATCTTGTGATTCTGTTCAATAAATGTATCTGCAGGCTTAACACCCAACTTTCCAGTTTCTGCTAATAGATCTAGAACATACTTCCTTTGAGAAATAAAAATCCCATGTTTAGATCTAGCAACCTCAATACCCAAGAAGTATCGTAGCTCTCCTAGATCTTTCACCTCAAWCTCTTGATGAAGGAGTTGTTTAAGAGACTCAATCTCACTGTTATCATTCCCTGTCACTACAATATCATCCTAATATACAGCAAGCAAAGTCAAGGAAGAGTCCACTCTTTTAATGAACAATGTATGGTCTGACTGGTCCTGTATATAGCCGAATTTTTCAAGGGCTTGTCTGAATCTATCAAGCCAAGCTCTAAGGGACTGCTTTAGTCCATACAAGGCTTTATTCAACCGGCAAACCTTCTTACCTATCTCTGCATCATAAAATCCAGGAGGTAACTGCATGTAGACTTCTTCCTGTAAGTCTCCATTGAGGAAGGCATTTTTAACATCCATCTGGAACAAGGGCCAAGAATACTGCAAGGGATAGCAGAACTCGAATAGTGGTCATATTTGCTACTAGAGCAAAAGTCTCCAAATAGCCTATACCATAAGTCTGAGTAAATCCTTTGCAACTAATCGGGCCTTATACCTTTCAATGGAACCATCAMCATTATGTTTCACAGTAAATAACCATCTACATCCAACCGGTTTATTTCCTTTAGACTGCAATGGGGAGGTCAAGGTCATCCAAAGAAGGTAAAGTAGCAACAGTGGAAGGTATCTCAGGGGGACCTGGATCTGGATCCGCAGAAGGAACTGGGGCTGGCCTGGACTGCTGATGACCGAAATCAACCTGCCTCCAACGCCTGTGATAGACTCTCAAATCCTGACACCTCTGACAACCCTCCCCATTACATCCCTCATCACTCAATGGAACCCCACTCTCACTGACCCCACTCAATGGAACAGGAATAGGAACTTCTGATGAGTTAATCCCACTCTCATTAACCCCACTCTCACTACTCTCCCCCTAAGGAGAAACCCTAGGGTAATAGGGTACCTCCTCAAAGAAAGTAACATCCATCGAGACAAATCTCCTCCCAGAAGTAGGTTCATAGCAAAAATAACCCTTTTGAGTTTGTGCATAACCGAGAAAAATGCATTTGGAGGCCTTAGGATCAAATTTGGAATGATAAGGTCCAAGAATCTGAACAAAGCAAGTGCAACCAAAGGTTTTAAAGGGAACAATAAATAATTCTTTATCGGGGTATAGAAGGGTAAAGGGTGGCTTCATGTCAAAAACCTGTGAAGGAACTCGATTAAAGAGATACACTACTATAAGAATAGCATTGCCCTAGAAACGGATAGGCACATTGGAATTAAACATAATGCTTTTAGCCACCTCCAATATGTGCCTATTCTTCCTCTCAGCAACCCCATTCTGTTGTGGTGTATAAGGACAAGTACTCTGGTGAATAATCCCATGATCAAGTAGATAAGAGGCCAGTGGCTTGGTA